TTCGGAATCCAGTGAATATAAACTGAGCCGGTGATTCAACTAAAACAGGTAAAAAATGGGGCCTTAAATAATGGAAAGCCTTTACCGTAATGGAGTCGATTGCCAACACTAGATTCCTAGATAATCTGTCATAAAACTGTAACCTGTTCTCCTGTCGTGCGTAGCAGCAGAGCTCAAAAATATCTGCACCTGTTGGTCGCGAAAACAGGAGAGAAAGGTCTGGGCTTCTCTCGCGTGAGTGCCTTGAGGGTGACCCTTCAGGAGAGGCCTTTTTTTCTATAGGGAATGCTACCCTAGGGTGTTTGTTGTGGACCCGGGTATATTCCCTAATTGTTTCCGTTGGGGGATGTAATCTGTAATTAGGCCTAACGAGTAATAAATGAAATTTATTATTTCCACAGACTTTCTGGTAGGTAGTAAATGTAGTAAACCAATGTGACCATCAATTAAATCATAAAAGAAAATGACAGTCGCAAAAGCGAGCGATTGAAAAGCGGAAGCGGGTGAGAGGTTGGGCGAAACGAGTTTTGTACTTCCTTTTTTGATGAAGCGATGCTGATGCCACATTGTTGCCATAATGAGGCGACAATGAAGCGAAGCGTTAACCGCCCAACTTTTTAATGTCGTGACATTGATGCGATGCTGAAGCCACAACAATGCCATAATGATGCGATGCTGAAGCAAAGGTGAAGCTGAAGTGAAGCCAATGCTTTCGCGAGAACTGTACTGTACCCCGGGAAGGTCAATCCTTGTAGCACAACATACATCTAGTCTGATATACCCAGCAAAGGTCAATCCTTGTGGCACAACATACATCTAGTTTGACATATCCAGGCCTAGCCAATGATGAACAAGCCATGCATGGCACAGTCCTCGTTAGTTATCAAATTTAAGATGTATAGTTTTGTTTATAGTATAGCTGGAATATAACCATGTCAGGAATATGATTTTGTAACATTAAAATGATTGACATTTGTACCTAATCGTCAAACAAGTACTTGTCCATATTGAGAGATATTGCTCTGGAACAGCATTCAAAATCAGCTATTTTGAATACATGTATATATATAACATGATGTATAACGAATATATAAAATTTGAATATAATCAGTCAAAGCATTTAAGAGATGTGGCTCTAGAACCCCAATCATTAAAGCAAAATGGCCGCAAGTCAGCCATTTTGAATCCAATCTGAAAAATAAAATGACATGCATCAGAAACCCGCAATGTCTAATGTATGTACCAAGTTTGAACAAAATCCATCCATAAATGCCAGAAATGCTTGATATTTGATGATTTTTTAGCACAAAAATGTCCACCATTTGGCTATTTTGAATAGGATCGTCAAACCAATAAATCTGTCTATCTATGACATGATGTATAATGAATATTTAAAATTTGAACATAATCAGTGAAAGCAGGTCAGAGATATGACACGAGAACCACATTCATTAAAACAAAATGGCCGCCAGACTGCCATTTTGAATCTTATCTGAAAAACAAAATTATTTGCATCAAGGTCCCATAATGTCTAATGT